TATAACAAAATAAAAATTAAAAAAAATATATATATATATATATATATATATATATATAAAATAAAATTTTTATTCAATAAATATTTTTGATTTTTCTTTCTTACTTTGTTTCTATTGCATTTTAACACATATATAAGTTTGACATAGATAAGTCTTTAATGGCAAATATAATAATTCATATAATTCAACTTTTTATTTAAATTTACGGTTATATTTATAAATAACAATATAAAATTATTATAATCTTTTTATATATAAATAAAAATTTGAATCCAATTATAATATAATAATTGATGACAAAGAGCAAGATAAGAATAAATATTTACTTGTCTTCAATGTCCCTAGAATGATAATCATCGACTAAATTGCTCTCAGGATTTTCGTTATCCGTAGACATTCTTAATATGGCGACTGCTGGAATTACCTGAAAGGAAATCGTTGATTATTATAAAGTGATATGAATAAGTGAATATTTTTTAAGAGATAATTATAGATTAATAGAGGTAATCAGCAAATGATAATATTACTGGGAATAAATACTTCTCGTTACATATGACTAATAAGAATAGGTATATCTAATGTATAACGAAGAATAAATATTTTCGCGTTAAATTACGATTTATATACTGACCTCGTCAATGAGTCCACTTTGTTCGAATTGTGGTTTCTTTAAATATTCGCAGAGATGAAAATCGCGCTGATTGTTTTGTCTGTAAATTGTTTAAGTTCCCTTTTATTAAATAATATTTTGGTATAATTAAGTAAAAATAAATAATAATAATAAATAAAATAAAAATGTGTATCATGGCTTATTATAAGTTGTTGCAAAGTGATGTACCCAACATATCGAAGATTATGCAACAAGGTTTGCATGATACATTGTGTAAAGGGATGCTTCCATTTGTATCCGTCGGATTCCAGTCTCATCAATTGCAGTCTCACTGATTGTAGTAGTTCCAAGTCGCCGATATCAAGATTATACCTACATAATAAAGAAGAGACACTGTATTACATTGCAATAACGCATCAATTATGTTGCACTAAAACGTTACGTGGGTGTAGGGTGTAATAAGGACGATAACGACGATAAAGACGAAGAGTGGCGAGACCATTTGACGACCCACCGATAAAATTAACCGATCGAAAAGAGGATTCAATTCCGTTCGGTTCATATATATTGTGTTCGCATATATCTCAAGTTAGCATTTGAGAGATAGATATTTCAGTGCGAATAATTCATAAATAATAATTCATAAATAATATAAACACACACAAACATCATCACAATTTTAAAAACGTGATTTTTTTTATCGTCAACTTACTGATATAAATCGTCATTCTCTAAATTCGTATACCGTGAAATACATTTTCCAAATGCCAGATCTGAAAAAAATAATGTAATAAACAAGTTAATATAAACAAGTATTTGTATACAAAAAAAGTTACTACTAAATTGTATTAATACATCGCAGCTTTCTAATTAATTGCCATAATTAATTAATTTTAATTACATTTAATCATTAAAAGCTTAATTTTAATATTTTTTATCTCTCTTTATTGTAAATGCAAAAGAAAATTCAGTTAATGTAAGAGAACTTTCTGTTTCATTATTAACTCAATTAGATATGATTGTATTATTACCATCGAAGCATTTTTCCGTCTGAGGATCGCATATTTCTTCGCTGAATAGACATCCTGAAAACAAACAATCATATTGAGAGATAAGAATTGAAATTATATAAGAGATATTGAGAATGCTTTCAAATTGTAATGATTAATTAGCTTCATCGTGTGTACAATTCCAAGCATCTGCGCCAGATTCAAGCATGTATTCTGTTAGACCGCGTAAATATTTTAACACAGGTGTGCAACCTGATTTCATCCCGTCTGAGAGCATTTGCTTGTGAAACAATCGACCGACTTGCTACGTTATATTGCAGCTTATAAAATATATATTATGGAATAAATATAGCGATACGCTATCAATATCTTAAGATAAACTAAATTTAATCATACAAATGAAATGAATGCCTGAAGTAGCTTCGACGTTTAACATCACGGATAATTCAGAAACAAAAAGAACTACATATGTATATATATATATATATATATATATCCATATTATACGAAGTGAAGCATATGGATATTTTGTTTCGTTCATAGTTCCGCTTTTTTCATTGTGAAAATTTATATACTTACGTATATATAATCTTTGATATTTTTTATAAGATTCTTACAATTAGATAAGAAAAGAAGAAAGAAATTCAAATTGGATCAATATAAACTTTTTCCTTTTTTATGATTTTCAATCAATTTTTTATAATTATTAAACAGCTTCTCAACATTTAATTTCTGTTCAATTCTTATTCTTCCAAATTCGCATTCTGTAACTCAGATTGTTCTTTTCAAAAATAAATAATTCGTCTCGAATGATATATACCCTCATGTAATTAAAAACTGAATTATCAGATGACTGAAGATATAATTGATCATATCAGTGCGATATCCAAAGAACAAAATGCATATATAAAAGACTATATGTAAAAAGTGGTTTAGATCGAAACTAAATGTCATATAATTATTTAGGATTAATTACACGACGATGTGCTTAAACCGTGAAAATAAGAGAAAAATGAATTGCAATTGAACGCATTTTCTTGATTCGTAACTAGCTCGCAGCATATGCTAACTTATGATAAATTTTAATAGGAAACTCTAAATAAGACAACTAGAATAATTTGCGAAAAATGAGAAAATATTTGTACATTTGTGTATTTGTGTATTTGTTAAGAGGAAAGAAAAAAATTAAATAAAATATTATATGTATACAGATCTAAGCAATTATTAAAGATCTTAATATGACATGATGCGTTAGAAGCAAAATTTGTTGGAAAAGACTAAGAGTTAGGCGATGCTTGAACGCGCAGTAAATCATAGAAAATAATTTATAATGTTTAATAATATGTAATGATTGCTTTGCCAGAATATACATTGAATTTTGAATTATATAATTTAATTTTCTACATCAAATAGTATTTTCTGCGAAAAAATTTATTTGACAAATCGTGGATAGAGTTAATTATAATTTGAATAAATGTTAAACTATAACTCGCATAACATTCAACATATGTCTTCTAATAACTTCTTAAAACTCATTATTTAACATTGTTGTATACTCGACTCTTTCTCAATGAATGAAGTTTATACTATTCTTTATATAAGGAAAGTACATTAAAGTTAAAATCAAGTATGTAGGTAGTCAAATATAGGGACTTGATCAAATTGCTAGGCAGTCAAATGCATATAGTACATTGCATATACAGCAAACATGCATGAACAAATTAAAATGTGAAATCAATGTCCAGTACTTATTCAAAAAAACATTTTTAGTTCTAAAATTCTAAATGTTAAAATGTATTATTATTTTTTGTACTTATTAGAAAACTATTGTAAAATTTATAAAAACAATATCTGTCGATATATGAAAATTTAGATCTCTCTAACGAAATCACGTGGTTATTTTTATAAGAAGTGTGAAAGACTATTATTTGATTGGGTATCATAGAAAAATTTTCTTGCTAAATTCGACGTTCATTGTTCGGATATAAATTTTGTTCACTGTTTTCTGTATTGATTAGATACAAAACATATGTGATATCGCAGTGATCGTTAGTCATTTATTCATTTTAGTTAATTTTTCGTATTTAAATAATTTTCGCTATAATCGCAAAATTATTATCTTCAGTCATTGTACGTGGACATTTCGATAATAATGACAAAAAGATTGCTTGGAGTGCACAGAATGGGCAAAATGAGAAAAGCCAAAGAGGAGCGCGGTTGGACGCGAAATAAGATAGATAAGTGGAAGGGAATATATATCGCGCGATATATATGAGAGAATGAGACAGTCTAGTAGCGTTATGCGCGCATGTGATAGAGAGATCTCGAAGCTCTCGCGAAGGCGGTGGCCGCGTGGGATGAATGGTTCGATAACTGTCGAGTAGCTGTCGTGGGCGAAAATCGAACATCTCCTCCCCTTCTCTCTTTCTCTCTCTTTCCCCTCCTCTCTTTTTCTTTCTCGGTACATGCGTGTGCATGCGTGTGCGTGCGTGTGCGAGCGCGTGTGGAAGAAAGAAAATGTCTTATTCTTATTCTTTAAACGACGAAATTGAAAATTGCCAATGATAATGATGATCTCTATAGGATTATATTTAAAATTTTTAGATTTCTTTTATCTAATGCTTGCTGTTTTTTACACATCGCTCAACTCAAAATTTAAGAATGCGTGACAGAATTATCGATTATTTAGAAAATAAAAAATCAGGAGATAAAGGCTTTTTGCTTTACGTTAGAAATTTTTTATTCAATGAATTATCGAGTTGTTATCTATCGATCGATTGGTATTAGCCTTTTTTCTTCTAATTTCTAAATTTCCTTTGTTTTAATGTAGAACAAATTTTTCTTCGACAAAATTTCCCTCATTCCTATTCACAGTTTTTCAAACTTTAAAATTTATCAACATTTCGTATGTTAAAAAAAAATATTAATTCTTTCAATTTCCGCTAATATCTACAATTAAAAAAAAACAATAATTGTTAAGCAGTACATATTACAATACCAAATCTCTCAATAATTTTCCCAAACTCATGGTAGGCTTTACGTAGGCGTAACGGGCAATAAAAGCGGCGAGTAAATTTATATAAACCTCGTACATAAAGAGTATTCTGAGCATGATAAGGTGCTCAGAAAATCAATGAAGATCGACGACCTTAATCTTGGTTTCTTTAAAAGTACGCCGGGAATAATAGCATCGCGAAAAGCTCTCCACTGACGTCAAACGGTGGTGGTAGTTTATTTCGAGCTGGAAATGCTTATGAGACTTTGAAATCTGGTTGCCATAACGGTAAATAAATACATATGTACACTTTTCAACATGAAGCAAGATTCCATATGGATTTATAACTTTTTTATACATATATTAGCAAATTATGCCTTCAACACTCATATAAGTTATTATATTTTTAATACTTTTTTTGTTAACAACTTTTTAATAAAGAGCGAGCGACGGCTAAAACCTTTTGAATATTGTTCAGGGTGATGACATATACATGGCAAGGTCAAAGTCATTGGGGCAGACTCTTCTCATTGATATATTTATCGCGATAACTTTCTTTCTTCATCTAATGATTAAAAGTGTGTATTATATCAAATACATACATTCATATATGTATACACATAATAACGAAGATTAAATTTAATTAAAGCTTTAATATATCGAACCTTTGCTTTAAATTCTATCCGGTTGATATTATTGCTGTCGGTTAATTAAAACATTAAGTTTTTCTGCTATTACTTTGCATTATACAATTTTCACATATATATGTTTTGCGATCGTCGTTGTGCTCATATTCTTAATAAGCGAATGTAAGCGATATCTTTTTGATTAATAGTAGGACGTTAATGTTCGCTCACTTTTCATATTTCTTCCGATATTGGTTCCATCATGTCAGTCTCATTGTTAATCGATAAGTGCACTTTCATGAATGTAGTGAAACAGCATGATGCTTATAGAAATATAATGTCACAATTTGATAGGATATCAACCATTGGGTCAACCATCACCAGATGAACGATATTAATATTTGAATGTATATACATATCCATATTATCGAAAATATCGATTGATTAAAGATAAATTTCTTCATTTCAGAAATACTGATTGTTATTAATCATATTTACAAGGAATATATAATAGAATTTATTTTATATTTTATTTCAAAAAAGTTTTTTAGAGAGATTTAGAGACATTAGAAATTTGAAAAATTTTGATTTAATAAAGAAATTTGAAAATTTGAAGAAATTTATAACTATGTTGTTCAAATAAAAAAAAATTTGAAATTTTGTAAATAAATTTGTTCATCGCAATGTCATGTATGTTAAGCAGTTATGTAAAAGTAATATGGTAAAATTATTTCATTAACTTTGCTAATTTGTAGATTTATATATAATTTTCTCAGCGTACCGCATCTACGTAACGTATACCACATCCTTTGTTTTATATTCTTACATTTACTGTTCTTATACAAAGAGTTTCTAGTTGATTACACAAAATGTTATAACAAATGGTTTGTAGTAAAACATATCGAGTGGAAGGCTTCAACGTGTGAAACGTTATTTCCTGTCTCTTTAAAAGTCTCGCTTGTCAACTCTAAAAGAAGACTTAAAGTTCATCCGCTTATTAATTACAAAGAGAAGTGAAGTATCCTTACAACCTTGAAAAGCGATTCAATAAAAGTATAAAACAGGGAATATTTGTGATTAACTGATTATTTGATATTAAAATATCGATCTATTTCAAATCGGAATATTTTAAAAACGCAGCGATTTACATTTTCTACAAGATAAAACGGATCTTTCGATTTGACTGAGAAACATATATTCACAATACTTTTAGTTTTCTTTTATATTTCTATATCTTTTATATACTTTTTTACACACCACACACACACACACACCACACCACACACACACACACACACACACACACACACACACACACACACACACACACACTACACACACACACACACACACACACT